TCCACCCCACCCCTGTATTTCCTTATTCCTTGTGCGATTCGGAATTTTTTTTTTCTCATATTATACTCCCCAAAATTATCTACTTCTGTCGAGAAAAAAAATTATCAAACACAATTTCTTGGCCTACTGCGATCACAAAAACTAGAGCAAAATTGAAGAAAACAGATTAGGCATTTTTTTACAAAAATTTCGATAATGGCAATCGATTCGGACTAGTCACAAATACTCCTATATCAATTTTCAAAACAATATCTCATACGGGGTGTTTTTTATTAAGGTTACAATTTTTCAATAATTGCATTTTTCAAGTCACCGTGTATAATGATCTTATAAGAATTTGAATGATACCAGGCATGATGGTAGTCAGGATCAGATCATCTAGCTACAGAGTGAGATAAATAACGAATAAAACCATTAGAAATTCAGATTTTTTATCAAGAAATTTAAAGAAAATGCAATTATTGAAAAATTGTAACCTTAATAAAAAACACCCCGTATGAGATATTGTTTTGAAAATTGATATAGGAGTATTTGTGAATAGTCCGAATCGATTGCCATTATTAATATATTTGTTAAAAAATGCCTAATCAATTTTCTTCAATTTTGCTTGAGTTTTTGTGATCGCAGCAGGCCAAGAAATTGTGTTTGATAATTTTTTTTTCTCGACAGAAGTAGATAATTTTGGGGAGTATAATATGAGAAAAAAAAAATTCCGTATCGCCCAAGGAATAAGGAAATACAGGGGTGGGGTGGAGCAAATTGTAACACACTGTATGAACCAAATTGGCAGAATTTCTCAAGACCGGTCCTGGATTTTTACGGTCCTGGATTTTTACGATCCTGAATACGTCAGTTGATTGCTGAGTGACAGCATAATAATCCATGAAAAAATGAAAGGAATCGAAAGAACTGTTGGAAAGTTATGATTGAGAGAAGTAGAGTCACTAGGAATTCGATAGCCTTTGAGACCCGATTTTCACCAATTTTAGATGATGAACCATCACAATGAAGACATAATCATGTCCTGAATTATACAGGAATGCTTATTACGAGTTACCCTAATGACAAGTTAATGGCCGGGCGTTAAAGTAGTCCACGGGCCACCCATTTTATGACCGCAAACCGGGATGTAAAGTGCTACTTCACGCCCGGTCGTTAATAAACATATTAAAGAATGAGATGCCGGATATCGTACAAGGCAATAATTTTTGGCAAGATTTTGAAACCACTACCCTCTGAATGGGGTTGATTAAACTGCCTCAATTTGATAGTATAATGAGCAAACTTGGATGGTTCATATATTTTCTAGGACTAGGTCGAGGACTAGGTATTTCTTCTAGTCGATGTACATTCAAATTTCTCAAGTTTATTCAACTGAAAAGCAGAATGAAATTCTTCGAAATTTCGAAACGATTTGCATTTATGTGAATGATTTCATTTTCTATTGTTTTGGCATCGCGGTCCACATATCGATATTTGCAAACAACAGTGAGTATGTATAATAGGTAGGTACTTATGGTTTCGTAACATTTTGCCATTGGCGAATCCATTACAGCAATAGAAACTTGTATAAGTCAAGTCATTGACTTTTAAACTAGTTAATTATTCTGAAATTATTTGTTTGGTACCTACTCCCCCAAAATATACTAGCATTTCAAGAGCGCACGAAATGGCGTACATACAAATTATGTCGGCGTCAAACAGTGAATTCCGTTTTAGCCGTTGTTACTCTGTTTGCCGGATGCTTGAGGAAGGAAAATTTCATTTTTTCTGTGACGGGAAAAAAAATTTTGGCAATTGACAGGTTATAAAATGTCACTTTTCATAAATTACTTTTTTTCCGTGGGAAAAAAGTGAGTACTTTTTTCCAGGATATATATCACATATAATATATACACTGTTGATGGATTTTGTTGTGCTATAGTTCCGAAAAATGAGTCAATAATACCGTCTCCGAGAAAGAACTGCAAGTCCTTTTATTTTCTATTCGACTTCGCGGTTACGTATAATACTAAACAACCACTAAATTCGCAATTTTTTGAAATCAAATCACATAATTAGACTGACAGAAGTGACATCAGATATTTCATTACTCCAAAAGAATGATAAGGATGCCTACAACGTAGATGTCCCTACTGTTAAAAACTTAAAATTTTCTCGTCGATAATTTTCAGATTTCAAAATAGTGTAATATCTTCTCAATATTGATTCGTCCCTTCTTCTGTCACAGAAAAAAAATAGTGTTTTCTGTTGAATATATCCAGGAAGAATAAATATTTTCATCACATAGAGAATGCGAATTCTCAATGAAAGGGGCTCCTGAAGATGTTGTTTCTTGAATATTTCCGAAACGCCACGTGATAAAATTATGCAATTTGGTACAAAAACTGAACTTTCCATGCCCAATGCGGTGAACATAACATCATTTCAAAGTTTCATTCAGGAGTGTATAATACAGGGTGGGACTACATTAAATATTGCTCAATCTTTTTCCTAAGCATATTTTTTAACAATTTAATCTCCACACCGTTTCACAAAAAAATCGATAAAAATATTGATACATTTACATCGTATGCATAACGTTGCCAATTTTCAAATCATAGTGGCTATAAAAGATCAACTACTCTCCTTTCACCAAACAATCTCATAAAAGCGTGAAAAATAGGAAAGTGATGATAAAAAACTACTTCAATTTTTGTGCACTTTTTTTCATTTCCACTACGAACCATTGCAATGTTATGCATAATATCTTAGATGTATAACTATAATTTCAAATCGATTTTAATGATACATCCTTTTTTCTGTAAAGAGGTGGGGATTTTTATAATCCGAGATTAAATTGTCGAAAAATATGCATACAAACATTTTTGAGCAATAATTAATGTAGTTCCTCCCACCCTGAATTATACACTCCTGAGTGAAATCTTGAAATGATTTTATTCTCACTGCATTGGGTTTGGGAATTTTAGTTCTTGTACCAAATTGCATCTTTTATGACAAGGAGTTTTGGAAATACTCAAGAAATATCATCTTCAGAGCCTCCTTTTGGGGGCCATAGCTCCCTTAGGAGATATTTCTTGCCTCATGTTCACTGGAACTTTTTTCCCTATTTTTGATCGTAGAAGCCGCTGGTGAAGTTTGGCAGGCTAATATCGGAACACTCTGTATATATCTATCCATTTTTTTATGTTCATAATATATCTGAGAAATTTTTTTAAATTTTTCTCACCCAATCAAGGGGTTCAAACTTGGACGGTGGAATCTTGTTATTTTTATACACCTGTAATTGTAGATTCTTGATTGGGTTTTTTCAATTCAGAATTTCTTCCCACGTCCTGTATGATAAATATCAATCTGTCATACATCCAAAAATGTCAAATTGTATTCTTTGAAAATTGTTTTATAGTGTGACACATCTGTTCAGTTTTCAGTTGTAAAGTTCGTAGTTTTATGTTGCATAACCATGGAGAGATGATATTTTGCTGCTTGAATAAAATAAATGATTTTTCATTTTTGTATTTTGCTATTTTGGAATTGAAACGCCCAGGTACCTACTTCTTTTATGTACTTATTACTGCATTTATTTCATCTTTGGCAGCGCCCGAAAGGAAATTCGTATAATGTTCGTGGTACATCGTGCGTATCTAAGGAAGATAGGGAGAGGATGTAGGAGTTGAAATTTATTTTTAACTCTTGTAGATTATTAGTTCCTGGGAATACTTCAATTGGCAGAGAATTCCTAAGCTTCGCTGTTCTATAAATGAAAGAGTTTTGATAGAGTGTTGTTCGACATTTTTCAAGGTTAACTCCGAAGGGATGTGCTTACTGGGCCTGTCGAGTTAGTCAGACTGGTATTGCTAGTGATGGAATTATAGCAGAGATATCTGGGGAACATTTCCCGTGGAAGTATCAATATAGAAAAGCGAAAGGTCGCCGACTTTTCTAGGGTGTTCTATGGGGTCAAAGATTTAGTGAGTGTGGCATCACCCACCAGGTGAATGGCTCTACTCTGGTTGGAGTCTAAGAGCATCAGCGTATGTATGGGTGCTGAACAACATACATGAAAACAGTATTCTAAAACAGGCCGTATTTGTGTTGGGAACGTCTCGTTTGACCCAATTTTCGAATCGCCCAATTTTCCATTCTCCCAATTTTCGATTCACCCACTGTCTCCGAACATACTCGAAAGATGCGTTGTTGTCAAATAATGCCACATTTCCTCGGATTCAATGAAACTGGAATTATCAAAAATCATTTCACTTTCAAATTATGTCGCTGGGCCAACATTTCGTTTCAAATTGGGTGAATTAAAATTGGGCCGAACGCAACCTACCCTTTGTGCTTTGTAGATCAGTTCTGTTGGTACTTCTGTTGCTACTGTTGAATTTAAAAATAATATGGGGTTAATCTCGGAACCCCCAATCCCGGGGTCTAGGTAGGTACCTATTTATCCCGAGACTTCGAAAAGGGTCCCGAACCCGAAAATTGGATACCCTGTTGGGGAAGGACATCGGTAGGAGAATACCTACCTTCCTAGATACAAGATCACCTACCTATTTCTTTTGTTTTGTTTCATTTCACTGTTACTATTGGAAATTGTAACTAGAAATTTCTTGCGGTAGGTCGTTAACATCGACAACCGTGTGCCGTAACCGCTATTTTATTTTGTAAGCGAAAGAAAGCGAAACCCTTTCTCGAGAAGCCACCGAAAACAGACACGACGGCATCGAGTGCGGTGACCGCTCGGGAGATTCGAGTCAGTGGGTCAACTTCGTAACAAGCGAACCTCGCTGACGCTGAAGCAAGAGCTCTCGCGTTCATGGCACTCTCGACTGCGCGAACGGACTAGCTCGGTAACAAACAGCAGCTGTCAAATGTCCGAATGAACGCGTATCAAGTTGGTGTGTTATTCCTGAGCGGGCGATAAGGACTGTTTTACCTGACTGTTATGTGCTTCTAGATAATTTCGTGAAGTTGGATAATTAATTTGTGCACTCAAAATGACTGTCAACGAGTACAAAGAGACCAATTGTGCTACTGCAGGACCTGTAGAAGAGATGGAAGTTGAGGAGAACCTAGTGCAAAATCCGCAAGACGGTGAAAATGAAAATCTTCTTGGCAGAGTTTTAGCAGGTAAGTAAAGAAATGTGATTAATGAATTCCTTACGGAGGTAAACTTGTTTTTTAAATTCTGTGAAATGTCATTCCTAATCTGTTTCCATTGAAAGTGAAATTAAATTCGCCAATACCTAGTAGGTATTCAGATAGAAAAATATTAGAAAAAAGTTTTATTTGACTATACCTAGGTACATTACATACAAAGGTACATTTGTAACAAGATCATAATGATTAAAACCTCGATTAAATATATATATATATATAGTTATAGTTAGAAAAAAGAATATGAATCAGAGATAAAGGAAGGTACCTATACCTATTCCTCAATAGAGTAAAAAAATGTGTGCAGATCGAGTAGATAGGAATTTTTTGATGAATGGTTCGAATTTGGTTACTACTTTAAATTATTGTACCTACCTATATAGCCTGAAACTGAAAATAATGAAGTATTTTAAGTACCTACCTTACTTAGAACAGCATGATAGGTAGGTAGGTAGGTAGGTGAATCAATATTAATAAGGAAAACAAGGTATTCGCACATACCTACCTTCCTATGAATACGTGACTTTATCATATCAAAATGACTACAATAATAAAAATTCCCACTAATATGCAACAAAAACTCATGTTTGTTGTTCCTCATATGAATAATTATCCTCGCGCGAGGTACCACGTCGCGTTCTTCTGTTTTCACTTTTCAGTCTTGGAGACTTTATCTGGGCCAAGCGGCGCCCGTTGAGAGGCTAGTTCGTTCACCCTCGGCCTTCGGCGCTAGTAGATCTGTCTCTTACCTTCGCGCTGCCTGTCTCCGTCTTTCGTTCACTCACTTTTATTATCGAGGCTCTCGGGATCCGTGTCAGCGAGCTTAGTCTCGGCGCAGGGTCTCGATGCTCGGCGGTGTTGCCAAATGATAAGGAATTTTGCTAATGGGCTTTTTGGGTAGATTAGATAGACAGCAAGACAGTAATGCAGTGTGTCGCATTTGAGTTGACAACTCATGTGAAGTTTGCGCCGTTTTTTTAACTCTTTTTTTACTCTGAGTAGATTTGGTGGAGTTCTGGAGTTCCTGACTGAAATTTTGAATAGTTTCAGTAAATCGTAGATGTGAATGAAGAAAATTAGTTCTGAGCGCTAACTTCACGCAGCGCCGTTTTCTTTTTAGAGGAAATGAGTTCTGATATATTTTTTCGTTGTATTTCAATGAATTTTGGAGTTCTAAACCTATTTTCACCAATAGTTCAGATGAACTGAGCAAATTATTGAATAATTCAAGGAAATAATACACGAAAATGTGTTTCTATAGGCCGCATTTCTTGGTGAAATTTTATAACGTTCTCTTTCGCATTGGAGAAATACCTAGCTTTCGAGAAAAAATGAGGAAAATCATAAGAGAATATAAAATCAGAAAAAAATCAGCTGTCATAAGGTTGCGACCTTTAAAAAATAACAATTTCGATAAATAATTAATTCCCAAAAACAGAACAATTCTCATGAAAGTTCTAAGTAGCGCTCGACGAGTTCTTCAAAGTATTCTCATTGTGTTTTAGAGAAAATTCGATTCTGTTTCATTCATCAGCTGTCATGAGGGGCCGACCTCAAAAACATATTCGATGAAATAAAATAATTTCAAAGCACACAACAGTTCTGAGAAGAGAACTGAGTAGCGCCCGATTAGTCACTAAAATAAAAAAATGATATTTTGAAGAACTCGTCGAGCGCTACTAAGAACTCTTTCGTTCTTTGAAATTAATTTTTTATCGAATATGTTAGTTATTTGAGTTCGGCACCTTATGACAGCTGATAAATGAAAAGTATCGATTTGTCACTAAAACACAATGAGAATATCGAGGAGAATATTTTGAAGAAGCCGTCGAGCGCAACTCAGAACTTTCATCAGAACTATTCTGGTTTTTGGAATCATTTGTCCATCGAAAATGTTATTTTTTAAAGGTTGGCACCTTGAGACAGCTGATTTTTTTCAGATTTTATATTTTCTAAGGGTGTTATACAATTTCTCGCAATTTCTAGATTTGTGTTTCACCAGTCTTTCGCTTGCTTATACGAGAAAATGTAAAATGAAAAGAAAAAAGGGATACTGTGAGCAGAATGTTGGAAGAAGAACTGAATGGTTCGATACTTGCAATAGTTATAGTCTATTTTATAGATATTTTCATGGACGATGCTCTTCTGAAATATACAAAACTGTTCCTCCCTTGGCAGTCTCCGCGAGATTAACCCGTCGAGTTGAGGCTTCGCACCCCTTCGTGTTCACTTTGGAGACCTGCAGAACATCTCTTTCCAACGACTCGTTCATCCAACGAACAGCGAGACTCTGGAACACATTGCCAAGGGAAGTGTTCCCCGAGGCATATAACCTCCAGAAATTTAAGAAGAGCACCAATTCCGACTTTATTTCCCTGGGTTCTCACGATGTTCTCTGAACATTACAGGATATCCCTTTTCGTGGGAACCAGAACATTAAAAAAATTCAGCATACTGGAGACTGAATTGCCCACAAAGATGAGAGCTTCATTTTCACACAGAGTTATTGGAAATATGCAATTAACTAAATCATTATCTTCGATTTCACTTTCGTCTACTTTTCGCATAAATTTTCAATGAAGAATTCTGATACAAACAGAAATTGTTTGAATAATTCTGATAGCAACAAAATTCCAAAATGACAATTGACAGTTCCTATAATTCAGAGACCGAACAAAACAGGACTCAAATGACTGAAGGTAGGTTTAAAAAACTCTGTTTCCATGGTAATGTGTTAATGAAATTGTGTTTCCGTAGTAACGTGTTTAATTTTTTGAATAAATTACATCAATCCGTGATTAATCGATCATTTAGCATGGTGGTACATATCAGTACGCTAAATGCCATTTTAGTTATGTGAGTAGAAGAAGAAAATTATATATTTGTTTAAAAAATAATTGTTATTATTTTGAGCATTTGTTATGAATATTCGAGTGAATATTATTGTTTTCAATTACTGTTCGTGTTGTCAAAGTTGAGTTATCAAAGTAACTCAGATATATATTAATCCATTAACACGGATCAATTTGACGCACTGCCTTGAATAATTTATTGGAATATAATTTTTTTACTCTTTGGTGTAATATAACGAGTCCATCAACATAAGTTGTATCTATCTATTTATACGAAACGTTGCATAGAGAAACCAATATCACCATGTTAAATAATTATCATGAAAAATTGCTATGCTAATCTCCGATAATTACGTAGGTAGACAAAAATTGAATAGATTTTGAAAAAATTCACGTATTTCGATATAATAATAATAATAATAATAATAGGTCATTATTCACCAAAGTACATACAAACAAGGATCCGAGTGGAGATTCGATATTACAATAATTATTGGTGAAAGGGCGGATATAACTGAAAAACTATAAAATAATTTTAAAAAATTTCGATGGCTATTGGAATGACCCTCTGAATGTGCAACTTTACCGAGATCCTCATTTGGGCCACACTATATAAAAAACTATTTGTCAGATGCAAAAATGTTAGGAAGTAATAATTGTTATGGAGAGGGAAAGTTGCATCATTACATGGCTGCACAGTTTCCCTAGTCAGCCAACTGTTCGCACACATCGGCAACACTGCTCTGGGGTATCGTTCGCTGGTGCAAAAGCGCCAGGAGAACATTCCGAGGTCGTCGAAACCCGTTCGCGAGGCTAGTGCATTAACCTCTCGAATCTGGGGCGAAATGAAATTAAAACTGGAGGTCGAACGTCGAATGCAAAAACAGCACATGTGCCTGAGACCAATGGATGGTCGTTACATCTAGAGTCTAGGACAAGCACCATGTGAGGAGTCGAATTCACCCGAACGTATGTTGAACAAGATGATAATGGTTCACTTTTCGCACAGTGATCAGTGATGGAAACTTCAATGACATTTATGAGAAGATTTCTGAAATGGAATAATATACGGGGTGTTTCATTTGAAGAAATTATTCAAGATGGCGCTCAGCCCCCATTTTGACTATGTATATCGTAATTTTTCCATAAAGAGTAGGTTTTTATCTCCTGTTGAAGCCCTCCAAATTTCGTTGCGATATACCAGGTGATTCAAAAATTATTAAGGGGGGAATGGACTTTAAACGGACACTGTAATATAGGTATGTCGTATACTATAACTATCAAGCTATTTAGTTGTTGATTTCCAAAAATCCAAAGTAAAAAGCGAATTGATGGTTTATTAGTTCATTTTCTGTCATTATAGTTACCTACCTATCGATAGAAAAGTCAATCAATCAGGCACCTCAAAAGAGGACTGTAATGAATACACAAAGAAAAACAAAAAAAATAGTGCAGAATTTCTTCAGAGAATCATACAATAGGTATAATTGTATATTATGTAACAAGTGTTATAAACGTCCTTTTGGTAACGAGTATTTTGAGCACGAGCGGAGCGAGTGTTTAATAAACGAGTGTCTAGAAGAGTTTATAAACGCGTTACATACTATGCTTTCTCTACGAACTCCGAAAATTACATTAACATACCTGCTATTTCTGCTAACCTACCAAATAATTCGAAAGGAATGGGAATTGTGAACATAATACATGCAACTGCATGCAACCAGCGAGACACGTATAAGTGATATTGGTTGTAGATATGTCCAATTGTCCAGTCCATTGCTCACTAACCTTATTTGTTTCACTTTAATTGTCATGCTAAGCGCAGAATGAGTAAATTGTTCTCAAAGATGGACGCTTCATTTTCACACTTCTTGCATGGAGATATGCAAGTACCAGGACATTCTCTTCAATTTCACTTTTGTCTACATTTCGCATATATTTTTGGTGAAGAATTCTGATACAAACGAAAATTGATTGAATAATTATTCTTATATACAAAATTCGAAAATAACAGTTGACAGTTGATACAATTGACAGGCCAGACATGTCTCACATTACTGTGAACTGTGTTGTAATCACAATCCGTGATTAATCGATCATTTAGCGTGGTACATATCCGTA